ATTATAAACAAATTTACGAACCGTATCGGAAAACTGATCAAAGATTATAACATGAAGACCATTTGCAATTACATAACACCATCAGACCGAAGAAAGCCTTTGACATTCCCCGGTTTGTACAGGATTCTCTGTTCCTGTGACTCAATTCACATCGGAACTACCAAACGCAGTATTAACACTAGGAACACAAGCGGAGCTTCTGCCTCATGCAACAGGGAAAATCCGCAGTTACAGAACAAGTCCTTGTAAAAATAGACCACGATGAAACTGCTTTCTTGTATAATTCAACGCATTACCACGCACGACTTTATAGAGAGGGCATTGAGATTTATAAGCATCGCAACAATTTCAACTGAAAAGAAAAAGGCATACGGGTCAACAGAATACAGGATCCAGTACTCAAAAAGTTCAAGAATTGACTAGAATACAACTCCAATCGACAACCCACCAGTGGCTTACCTGTCAATAACGTGAATCAATCAGAACAACCTAGTAACAGCCGCACCACTCAGAATGACCCGGCAAAAGTGCAGACCAATCAGCAGTGAGCATTTTCATGGACACTTCGCCATCACCCCCTCTTCCATCCATCCCTTTCATCACCGCCACAACACTCTGAAATTATAAATACGAGTGAAGACTGACTCGCCAGTCAGTTGTTCCTAAGACTTCGAGAAATAACCTTCGCAGTAAGTCAGGCTACGCCTCAACTACAAGGACTTATATATGAGTGCTTAATGTTTCTATTTGAAAATCGCAACAAAACACAGGAGATATATTGCTTATATAATATGAACAATTAGAAATATATACAATTGAGATCGAAGCGATATTAAACACTTGTCCTTCATCTCCTTTATCCTCGGATCTCAACGACCTTTTGCCTTTGCCTGCCGGTTACTTCCTCACTGATGCTCCATTGAGAAGCTGTCCAGAGGTTGACTTCACTGACACTCCATCCAATCAATTGTCTGCTTGGCAACATGCGCAAAAATAAAAGTAGCACTTTTGGGATCGCTGACATAAGGAGTATTTAAATAACCTTATTAGCTCGCATCAAAGTCCTGAATCAACTAGCAGGATTCAAGTTGGAGATTTGGTTCTGATCCATGAAGACAATCTTCACCCACTTGTTTGGTCCATTAGAAGAATCACCGCAATCCATCCAGGAGAAGACGGCATTGTTCGTGTAGTGACTCTAAAAACCAAGAATGGCGAGTACAAGCGCTGTACTAAAAAACTTTGCCCTCTACCCTTCAGTTAACGGCTCTATTTCATTTTATATAACTTGGACAGTTCAAGGGTGGAGGCATGTTCGATCTCAAAATCTTGCTATCGAAGTTATTATTTTTTCAAGTGAATTGTGAATCTTAAATTTTTAGTAATTAGCCTAGACTTGCCAGCTCTAAAATTTCTACAAGGAAGTAGATTGTTTAACGGCATTATTTTTATTTTTGTTAACTAATCTNTTGCGTTGGGTCTATGTTATTTTTTTGTAAGCCTTGTTTGTGCCTTGCCCGGAGAATTGTACCTATCTGCACCGAATCTATTTCTTCGCAGAGCTTGTGAAAGAGCTATTGGTCTTTCCGAATCAATATTCGGATGATCTACCAGATCTACCAGATGTAAGTGGACTCAACTTAGATCGATTTAAAATGCAATTTTGCAACTAACTTCCAAAATATGTGAAAATCTAGATGATAAAAACATTCAAAATGTATTTCGTTGATCTGCAGTGCATTGGAACGAATTGTTGTTATGATAAACTCTTTTAAATTGATAGAGGACTATTTATGTAAAAGATCACAATACCTATGTTGAAGTCAATTGTGAACTCAGTAACCTCAAAAAAGTTAACCATAACGTTCCACAAGGAACTATTTTAGGACATCTCTTGTTTTATATTTATAAAAATGAAATATTCAACTTGCCATCTATATGATTAGATATGCTGATGTAACAGCAGTCGTAACAGCAGTCTTCTATGTCGATATGAGTTGGTAATCAATAAAAAACAAAATAGAAACAGATTTAGATACATTAATTGATTTTCTAGCAGTAGTCTACTCACCGATAATGAATCAGGCTTATTTTATACCTTTTGCTAGCTACAGAAATGGATTACCAAACTTTTCAGACTCAAATTTAACTGCATCCAACATAAACACAGAAATAAGAAGAAGATGGAGTGCGGAGGTTGGCATTAGAATATAATATATTTGTCAAAGAAATTTGAAATGTGCATACATTGCCCTATATTTTTAACAGCGTCCTTAATTTCATTTTTGTCTTGTGATAGTAGATTTATGATATCAATAGGAATTTGTATACTCAGTGAAATTATCTCTGTGAGAAGCTCCGATGTGTTTCTTGATTTATTTGAACATTCTAAAAAATTTTGATTCACATTTTCAACTTCTAACTCACAGAAGTAACCGCTTCATTATGCATTATACAGTGCATTTCTTTAATTATCCCCCCTTTTATTTTTTGAACGGATAAACTCAAAAAAATGAAATTTAAGGTATTGAAATTATTGCATAAATACTTCATTTTGAAGAAAAATTGACAGATGAAACTTTCACTGGGCGCCATCTGGGAAATACATTAAATGGAAAGGGGGTCTTGTGACACATCATTTTGAAGCTTCTGACGAGTACTTCACAACCCTAGAATATGAAGTCAATATCTTCACCTACTACAAAATAGCGGAACATTCAATAATTTCCTGAAGACAAATACATTATTATCGATATTTTTAGAAATATTCCTTTTTATCTGCCATATGGCAATTTAAACAACCCGATAAGATATGTTAAGTTTTTTTTGTTTATAAAAACGACAAAAAATGTCAGTACGACAATGAACATCATTGTTCAGCTCATTTAGTTTTCGGTTTTACTAGTAGAAATGTATTTACGGTGCGACACGTAACTTTCACGAGACCGAAAGTATATTCAATGAACGTTCTCCGAATCGTTTTCTGTAGAAAATATTTGAAGGAACTTGTATCCAAATTCACAACTACCAATAGTATACATAACAAAAAACCCCAGGTCATCTGTCCATTCCAGAAGAACGGCAAATGCAAACAATTGGTGAGATGGTAGTAAATACTGAACAGTCTACTTATTACGTCGCGTCACGAATGTTTGTGAGGTGTATCCTTTTACTGTGTGGAGACTTTTGAAGAGGAATAAGTATTATCCATACAAAATTATAATGGTACACCAATTAACTGAAGATGACCCTGATCGAAGAACAGAATTCAGCGAAATCACGACGGAAACCATTGCAAGGCATCCCACCTATCTCCACAATATTTGTTTTAGTGACGAATGAACATTTTTTGAAACTACAATATTCACAGATAAAATTGCCGTTATTGGAGTGACACCAACCCTCACGTTCTCCGGGAAACACATACCCAATATCCAGAAAAAATCAATGTTTGGGCAGGAATATTGGGAAACCACATTGTAGAACCTCTATTTATTGATCAAAATTTAACAGGAGAACTATATTTGAATATGCTGGAAACTACTGTTGACCCTCTCATCACTGAAATCGTCGAAGCGAATCCTAATGAATTCAATATGAATATTTCATTCCAACAAGATAGAGCTCCACCACATTACTCCAGACAAGTAAGAAACTATTTGGATTCTACTTTTCACGGTCGTTGGATTGACCGTCGAGGTTCTACGGAATGGCCAGCCCGCTCACCAGCGAAAATGTACGGCATGAAATATCGGATAGGCTGTTCATATGTCAAGAAGTTCAAGGCAACCATTTCGAGCATCTTCTGAACTGACCTCAAGCTTATTACTCATATTATGTAGTTAAATGTCAACGTATTCAGGCAATTATTAAAAGTTCCGCCATTTTGTGATAGTTGAAGCTATTGACATCATATTCTAGTGTTGTGAGGCATTTATCAGGGGACTCAAAAAGATGTATCACAAGCCCCCCCCGTTCTATTTAATTTTTTCCCCATGGCGCCCTGTCGCCATCTTGAAAGTTTCATCTGTCAATTTCTCTTCAAAATAAAGTATTCATGCATTAATTTCATTATCCCAAATTTCAATTTTTTGAGTTGACCGGTTCAAAAAATAAAAGGGGGGAGACATTAAAGAAAAGCACTGTATAGGCAAGTCTCATATCATTAGTATTACTATATGATTATTATAAGTATTCCAGGGAATGAAATAGTGAACCAACCCGTGAAATGAGCTACAAAAAGAGACCACTTTGATAATATTTATATAATAAAGCAAATGACATGAAAATATATTCGAAATTATTGGTAAATCAGAAATGGGAAGTGGTGTGGATTAGTTCTGCTAACCAATGGAAATCCTTACATAACTTGTACAAATAAAAACAAATTGGACACAGGTGGCTAATGAATAGTGTTAAGCTTTGTGAGGAACAACTCAGATTTGAGCTCTGCAGATGAAGAAAAACGGTGGAAAAGATTTGATATGACAACACTGTTTGGCAAGCAACATGGATGAATTCTTTGCCAGAATTGGCCAATATTTCGAAATGAATGTAGAGTGAATTTTCCAAAGGGTCTCAGTAGCATGCGGAAGGATCTGAAAATTCCAATTTCATATATCGACTTTTATAGGAAATTATATGAAACTTCTCTGGGGTACTTCAACATTCAATATATTCAAGTATAACCAAAGAGGAAAATGAAAAAAATCGAATGACCCAGTACAAAAGTCCACATGAAAAAGTATAGATCATTCTTCTGCTTCCTTTAGCACCAACTGTGAACATCGTTTCAATGTTTTTTGGATGATATTACACGTAGTCCTTGCCCAGTTGGTCTTGCCATTTTGTACGTGAATTTTAATTTCGCTTGCAATCTACTTCTCTTCTGTCAGAGACATCGACAGTTCTTAAGTTGTAGAATGTACTTATGGAAAAGTATTCTAATGAACACATCTTTTTTAGCATCAATTTTATTAAGATAATTCCTCCCACGTTACTTCTACCTTTCCACTGTACTTCCTCATTACTGAAACAGCTCTTCATTAAGGCATCTCATAATAAATAGTCCCGTCTACTTTGAATTGAATGTGAAAGGGACGCAATGAGCTCAGTTGTCTCTTGTCGTTTGTTTATAAAATTCAATTTCATACTAAGGAGAACAAGAAAGATAAGAATGAGACTAAATACTAAATTGCAGACTCGAAATAGGCTTCGAGCTATACGCTTGTGTACAATCTTACGTATACTGAAACCATGAAATGTACAAATGATAATGAATACGAATTAGAAAACAACGTTGAAAATGCTCTGTTGGTGGTACAACGTGTTTCTTTTAAAACTATCGAGACATTCCAAAACAAACAATCATGTGATGGGGTAATATGAATTTATCTAATAAATGAGAACACACTACAGAAACTTGATCATAATGTTGCTGTTGAATATGAAATATTCAGTGCCATATAGAATGTGATTAACGAAAAATAATACAGACGGCTCTAGAAAATTGAATTTCCTCTTGGAGATGATCATTTGTTGATCGAAACAAGTATCGAGGTGTTAAAATAACGATTTGGTGAGTGAGTGGTGAATTGTAGGGATTTATTCTCCATAAATCACATTCTATATGATGTTGAACAATGAAGATTGTGATCTTGAAGCTATCTTTTTGACTACACAAATAAAAAAGTAAGTATGAAAATACATCATCCTTTTATTTGTCAGTTGTATCTTCCCAACGAACATTTTCATAGGTACTGCAAAATTTGTACTTCGAATTTGGTGTCACTTCAAACGCTGGACAACATCACAACTTCAATCTCTGGACAACATCAAAACTTGAATTTGGATCAATATTCAGTAACTCAGCACTGTATCATACTACAAAACGTGAATATGAAACACGACGAATGATGGAACTTGTGTAGTTGTCTGTTTGTTATTTTAACATTAATATAAGTAAAATTGTCGTTTTTCAAAAATATTTTGCATTTGTAGATAAGTATAGGGGGTTATTGATTACCCATGGAGTAAATTTGCATTTAGATTTCGAATTTTCTATTCTGAATTAGCATCTTATAGTACCCAAACTCAGACCGCATAGTAGTTTCGACTTGGTTTAATATAGAATTCATGTGGGAGATGAATGTGGATTTGTAATTAAATATAAAGCCTATGTCTCTAAATACAGTCATTCTTAACTTGATGAGTACAATTGAGAATTTCTGACATAAAACGAATATACCCAAACACTTTTCTCTCACCAGAAGAAGAATACTCTTTCTCACTATAGACGCCTGGTTAACTAACCAAGTTAGCATCATCAGAAATGTAGGACTTATTCAAGCGGCTGTTAATGTTAACGTGTTAGAAATCACACATTGAAAGGTAACACCTCGTTAATCCTTAGCTCGCACAAATTTCGACTTCTGAGGGTTGTCATTCGTAGGGGTGCGACAGCTGAGCTGGTTAACGGAAAAACAGATTTTTTTAACAGATATGCATCTAGATAAATCATAACCTTACATAATGAGGGTCATTAAATCAATTCCTAGTATTTTATTGTTCTTAATTTTATTGCTACCTGAATGAACCCTGATCTTTACCTATTTTCTACTACGTAAAAATGCGAACGAAGAGCAATTAGGAGTGGGACATTTATCACTGTTCATACAGCTGCCGGACTGTTTCATGACCGGTGAGATGCCCCTCCCTCAAGAAGTGCAATAGATGTGTAGAAATCTGTTATCAGTCTGTTAGAGAATTTAGGACCGTATTTAGTTAGTGATGGAGTTTGAAAGTAAATTGCATAAACATAAACTGCTTTTTATATATCTACAAGAACCCAAATGACATTTTAATATCCATTTATTGTTTATCCCTTAATCCGTACTACGTAAAATGGGGAATGTTCCTCCTGACGAAAATCAAGAAGTTTTCATAAAAGAGCTCTAAAACAACGCATTTTAAACTTATCATGTCAACCATTTCCTTTTAAAAATTATTTAAATACTTAAAAAAGACGAATGAAATAATGCATTCAACATTTAAAGGGATTCGTTTCTATTTCAACATTTGGCAATATCGGTTATAGCTAATAAAGGACAATGAATCTGTTACCTAAATGAGACAAACAAAGATGATATATTTCAGAGGCGTGCTGTTCTGTTTACTTATGTTCCGAGTTCCGAGACATTATGTGACATATGACATTTTGTGCACCTAACCTATCTTCCTCTATATAAATAAATATCAAAACAACTATTGTTTATATGGCTTGTGGAGGTGGCATTGAACTATAATTTATATTTTGCCTTAATTGTTGATTAAAGATATTTTTCCTTTTTTAAAACCCAACATTTGAAACATCAATTTGAATTTTGTTCAAACTTGCATTTGCTGTAATAACCCAAATTGAGGAGCATTCCCTATTGCAAACAAAAGTTTTATTTCTTTTTTCCTAATTCTTTCTTTGTCATACACACTGACCCAAACTTTACGTAGATACGATTTCTCTCACCAGCCATGAATCAGTCCGGTAGTTGTAAGTCTCATTTCAAATTTTTAGATTTCTAAACTTTCGAGGGTCTCTAAAAATTGTTATCTATCGGTCTCAATAATTTTGACCATTCCTCACTAATTTTGTGGTTCTCTATGGCATGTTGAGCAACAGTGGACTTCCCTCGTCTATGAAACCGACTATGTTAAATATGTCTCTCGTAGCGAGCTATAATAATCCGCTTTATATGACAAACAAATTTTTTATGGAAATCCTCACAGCTCATTTTGTAAATAATCATCATGGATGGATGGTCCAACATATTAGATGTTGATAGTTCGACTCAATCGATTTAGAATAACTGCTTTAAAATTCATTTTACAAGATTTGACCAGGAATATTGTAGGTTATTTATAGCTTCAAATCCTTTTTGTAGAATTTAATATTGAAATACTCAAAATAAAGGAAAATTAGTTGCATCAATCAAAAAAGATATATATAATCATTTTCAATTGTTTATCTGTTGAATTCCAGTACCTAACAATTCTCTTCTAGCAAATCTCAAATTCAAAAGCTTCTTAACTTGAAGTCGAATCCTAGAAAGTTGCCATGTACACAACTTCTGGAAAATTCATAAGAAACCACAAAAAGCTCTCGAGAAATAAATGAAATGTCATGACCCCAATTCTCATTATATCTCCATAATTGAAGTTTTCACCCCAGAGATATCATTTTTACACGAGTGTGAATGTGTGGCTCACGCTTCAAGAATATAACGGAACTTAGGAACGAAAGAGACGAGAGTTTCAGCAAAATGAAAACGACAAATATTATAGCAACGCAACGGTTCAAAACATCAGCAAGCAAGATTTTGAATGGATGCCTTGGGAATAACTTTTTTAGGGGAGTGGAATATCAGGTTTCGAATTGAATTTTACGCATCCCACATTCTTAAAAGTATCTCGTTATTTCTTCCATGTCATCGGCGACACTGAAAGTTTTTATATTATGTTTTTTAGTATTCTCATAGTCGTCTATGACGGAGGAATAAATAAAGAAAAGAAATATCCAGCGAAATTGGAAGTTATCACACAACTTTGAAATACGAATGTATAGGTCTATCATCCACACTTTCCTGACTATGATGTGACATATTTGATTGACGTGATCCTTATAAGGATTTTTCAGGATTCCGGACCTGTAGAAACATCCTTTTGAAACCCAACTTTTCATAATGCTTTGAAAGTTTCTGTTCACAAACGAACAAATATTATTTTTTTTTAATATCAATATTATTGTATATGAATTATTTATCGAAAATAGGTTTGATAAAAGTTATCTGACTGAATTCAGCTCTCGATATATTACAACTTAACAATTCCAAATTTTCACAGGATACCAACAACTTAATCTAGCTCGTTTTCTATTGGAAAATTTCTACTACCCGGGGGAACTTGGGGTGGCATTTCTACCCTACAATTTGAAATGAAAGTTTTCAATTATTTCATCTTTTCAGCATCACTGAATGTTCACAAAATATTTTTGTGTAATTTGAAATTAAAAATCATAAATTCCAAGAGAACTAGAGGGTTTTGAGTTCAGTCTTCTTGACAAAATTATTATAGAAAAAATGTTGTAGCATCACCAAATATTCACGGAATACCAAAAACTGAATCTAGTTGATAATAATAATAATAATGTCTTAATTTCCAATGAAAAATTAAATATTTCATGGTATTTGCCTTGCTACTCAGGAATCCCAAGGGAGAGTTCACTCGGGGGTGCCCTACCACTCAACCCTTGCTATTTTAGGTCCATAGACTGGAGAATAATAACTGAATTGTGATAAAACTAGAGATTCACATAACATTTTCTTTATGGATACATTTAGGTACATTTTGTGAAGTATAGTAATCTCTTTGAATAATTCGACTGATATGTTCTCCAAACCTTAACGACTCATCTAAAATTGAACCAAGACTTTTTGCATTACTTTCAATTTTCATTACTTCGTTACTTAGGTGCAGTTTCAAGTATTGCTTTCAAATACTAGCTACTAATTTTTTTGGATTGAGCATAAATAAATCTGTTTTTCCGTTAACCAGCTGTCGCACCCCTACGAACGACAACCCTCAGAAGTCGAAACTAGTGCGAGCTAAGGATTAACGGTGTCTTACTTTTTAACGTATGATTCCTGTTCGGTTACATTTGACATAGTTTCTAAGTCATTGTTCAACTTTGCAGCAGCGTTGTCAAGGTCATTATCATCGAATGGGAGTTATAGCTGAGTGTCATCAGCATATATGAGCATTTTACAATGTTCAACACAGTTATGAGATTGCGGTTCCAGAACTGAGCCCTGAGGTACTTCCAAAATAAGATTTTTAGCTGTGGATAATTGATTTACAAATTTAACGCTTTCTATACGATTGGTGAGATATGACTGACAAAGCTGAAGAGATTCCGAACAGACTCCACTTGTTTTCAAGATGCTTAGTTAAGTATTATGCCTAAACGTATCGAACGCTTTACTGAAGTCAAGCATTACCAATATTGTACATTAATGTTTTCGAATGATCCAATAATATCATCGGTTACTTGTATAAGAATAGTCGTACAAGTATGTCCCTTTCGGAACTCCGACTAAATAGATAGTAAAATTTTATTTTCATTAAGATGTTCAGATAGTTGGCTGGCTAACGTTTTGTCAAACAGTTTAGATAAGCCAGTCAAAGTGTTTATTGATTAGAGTGGATTTTCGTTTTTTGGAATGGGGGTAATAATAGCAAATTTCCGAGTAGAGGGATAGTTAGATGACAATATTATACTATTAAAGATATGTACCAAGAAAGGCAAGATGTAGGGACATCAAATTTTTATGAGAGCTATACTTATGGTGTCAGAGCCAACAGAGCGGTTTTTATTCGTTAAAGGAATTTAAGCACAATATCTTTATCAATAAGTTGGAAACGTAATTCTTTTACACGTTGTATTATCGTAAAAATATTTATGGAAGTAGTTGTTGAGTTCTAAAGTATGCTATCTATAAATGAATTATTTATTGCATTCGCATCTTCGAGTACATTTGTTATATCAGTATCTATGCGAATCATTAGCACTATTTAGGGATTGAAGTTATTTATTCTTTTCTGGAGCTATTCAAGAAGGCATTATTAAAGTAAACACTCGTTCGGTTCTCCACTTTGCGGTTAGTCAGGTTTCGCAAACGTTTGAATTGATTCCATTTGTCTTGTGTTCGTTTTTTATGTGCCTTACTTTGAATTTGGTTTTTTTTCATTAGTTCATTTTCCAATAGAAAATTTCGACTACCCGAGGGGACTTCAGCTTGCAATTCACACCCTCTCAATTCAAATCAATGTTTCCAATGAAATCATCAAATTCTCATAGAATGTTGGTAGATTATTCTTGTTTGATTTGAAATGAAATATTACGACTGTCCAAGGGGATTAGGGAGTATTGAGTTCAACTTTTTTGACAAACAATGATTTTGTTTAAAGGTGATTGACACTGTTTCATGATAAATTTCATTAGTTTGNACTCCTAAAAATATAACCCCTTCAATTCAGATTTTTTTATATTTCAACAAACAACAACGAAAAGGATTTGACCTTCATAAACTTGATTTTTGAAATTTCTGAATCTTCATCAAATAACGGCCGAGTCAATCAGAAAAAAAATGCATATGACGAAAATGTTTTAGCATTACCAAATTGTAACAGAATGTCAACAATATAATCATTTTGAATAAAAAAATGGACAAGATTGAGTTGGTATTATGTGAAAATTTGGTGATGCTACATTTTTACCATGAAGAAAAATAATTGTTAAAATCAAAACCCCGAAGTTATGTCAAATTGATGTATGAAAACTCTTTTCAAGAGTCAGTTTTGTTTTATGAACAATTAGAAATATATACAATTGAGATCGAAGCGATATTGAACTCTCGTCCTTTATCTCCTTTATCCTCGAATCTCAACGACCTTTTGCCTTTGACTGCCGGTTACTTCCTCACTGGTGCTCCATTGACAAGCTGTCCAGAGGTTGACTTCACTGACATCCATCCAATCGATTGTCTGCTTGGCAACATGCGCAAAAATAAAAGGAGCACTTTTGGGATCGCTGACATAAGGAATATCTAAATAACCTTATTAGCTCGCATGAAAGTCCTGAATCAACTAGCAGGATTCAAGTTGGAGATTTGGTTCTGATCCATGAAGACAATCTTTACCCACTTGTTCGGTCCATTGGAAGAATCACCGCAATCCATCCAGGAGAAGACGGCATTGTTCGTGTAGTGACTCTAAAAACCAAGAATGACGAGTACAAGCGCTGTACTAAAAAACTTTGCCCTCTACCGTTCAGTTAACGGCTCTATTTTATT